ACAAAGCAATTTTTTCATTTTCATTTTTCAAGATATGGGGTCCTGCTGTCCTTCCCAGGCTGGGCTCAGACTCCTGGGCTCAAGAGATCCTCCCATCTGGGCCTCCTGAGTAGCTGGGACACAGGTGCACAGGCCACCACGCCTCCATCGCAGTCGCAACCCCCAAGATATTACACAGTGTAAATCCAATAAAGGATCAGAATCCAGAGCACAGGTCAAGTAGAAAAAGAATTGAAACAGAAAAATGGTCAAAGGTTATGAAATGTAGCGCAGAGTGAAAAATGAAACAGGAACCTGAATGAACTTGGAAGAGCTTCGACACTCCCCAGCCCAGAGGTAGGCGTCATCACCTCCGTGGGATGCACTCACACTGCGGTCAGCAGAAATAAAGAAGGGGATGCTCTCTGGGACCGGGAAGGAGGCAGAGCCGGGGGCACCGTGTGCCTGAGGGAAGGTGGATTTATGCAGCTGTGCGGATCTCAGTTACTAATAACTGGCAAATTAGTGATTCGCAGGCCACGATCCAGTGATTTCCCTCAGAGCTGCACACCCGGCCTTCAGACAAGCCACGCAGAGCCCACGCGGGATCAGCCGCCGCAGCTCAAATTAGTTTGACATAAGAAAACATTGGGAACAGCAGAAATCCATCAAGAGGAAAATGGATAAACAAATTGTAGTATATTCATATAATAAAATGCTGTACGGAGAAAACCAATGAACTAGGGTTTTGTGCTGCAGCACATCTAATTCTCAGGCCCATGATGCCAGACAGTAAGATGGTTGCAGGAAGATTCATACATTTTAATTTCATGCAGACAGTTTTATAAATAGAGAAATAAAATACCACGCACGGGAAGGCATGCAGACGAGACAGGGTATGACGGAGTGCACAGAATCGAGTAAAGTGTCGCTGCTTTCGAAGGGCCACTGTGCGCGAGCAGAAGCAGGTGCAGGGCCCCCACCAGTGTGTGTGATGTGCTCTGTTCTGACCAAGGTGCGGAAGCTTAAGCCCTGCTTTCTGGTCCTCACTTCTTGTTGGTATGACCAGCCTGACACTGTCCCACGGGCCACCAGTGTGTGCCTTTCTCCCTTTGTGCCTGGGGCCTCTGCCTGCACGGTTGCAGCCCCTTCCCCATCTCAACCAACATCAGTAGGTGGGGTGGCACCTGACCCGCACCCGAGGGCACCCACCTGGCTGACTGTCTTCACAGCACCCACCACTGTTGAGAGCCACAGCCGAAGGGGCCCCAGCAAACTTCCAGCTGATTGGCTCACTGTGGCCCCAGCAAACTTCCAGCTGCCAGCTGATTGGCCCCTCTTTGGTGATGCTCATTGGGCTGTTTCTCCGCCCTTTCAGACCACGGAGCTGCTCATTGGGGGACTTTTTTGGCTCCGCCCTTGCGACCCAGCCAATCGGCCTCAAGAGTGGAGGAGTGGGGGCAGAGAGGCTTGTGGGAAGCCGGTGGTGGCAGTCGGGCTCTGAGGGAATTCCTGAAGAGCTCCTGTGGTGTGGTGTGTGTGTGTGTGTGTGTGTGTGTGTGTGTGTGTGTGTGTGTGTATGTGTATGTGTGTGTTCTAAAATTAAAGTTCCTTTCTGCTTGACAAGTGGCTCTTGAATTGTGCCCAGCCAGACTGAGGCGTTGCCCAGGAGCTGCTGGTGGAATATTTGCATCAGTCCGTCTGGTTTGAGCTCCGCCTGGCGCTGAAGCAGGAGTCCCTGAGGGAGGCAGCAGCTGCCTGGGTTCCTGCAGGTCCTGGGTGCAGACTGTCCCAGGTGACGAGGTGCACGGCATGAACAAGTGAGCTAATGGCACGAGGGACGTGAGGCTCAGCACCCACTTCTACTACTAGAAAGGGATCCAGATGAAAGTGCACGACTCGAGGATCCCCAAGAAACCAGGGTCACATTCAGCGCAGGGGGAGAGGCTGGAAAGGAAAGGCCCATGAGGAGCTGGTGGCTGAGGGAGGCTCAGGGGCAGGGCCACGTCCTGAGGGGCATTTGGGAGAGACGGGCCAGAGCTCAGGGACTGTCTGTGTGCTCACATGGGATAAGCCATGGAGTCGCGGCCTGGGGCGAGGGCTGGGTGAACAGGGGCAGGAAGTGAGGAGGAGGCTGTCTCTTGCCTGATACTTGATGCATTTGTGCCCAATATGAACAGCTCACGTTTGTCAACCAACTAGCATGTGACGGGCCCTGCTCCATGCACCTCACGGGCTGTCACTCATTCCATCCTCCTAGTGCCCAGCCAGGGGCGGTCATGGCCTTCATTCCCATTGGAAGCTGAGGCTTAGGGAGGTTAAGGCTACACGGTCATGGGGGAGGTCAAGCCCAAGCTAAGACTCGTCCCCAACTCAGCCCCCTTTTCACATGGGACCAGAGGATAATTCAGAGACCTGGGTGACCAGGGACAGAGCCGGAGGGGCTGCAGTGACCCTGGGGGCAATCCACTGAACTTTTCAAGTCTTTAATGGTGAGGTCCCAGTTGGCTTGAGCCAAGCAGAGAGAGAGCTGTCCTGAGTGTCCACTGGAATACGTCATTGACATGCCCATAGGGAGGCCAGGGAGGGATCCTGCCTGAAGTCCCGCCAGGAACTGGTAATGACCTTTTCCTCCTCAGTGTCCCCTGTGGGATGTGGCTTTTCCTCATTGTTGCCTACTGTCACTGTCCCTCCCCAGCACTAAGGCGATATTCCTGGGGCTCTTTAACTCTCTGTTTTTCTGGTGCACATATGTGTATATGTACACACGCGAGCACGTTCACCTGGCACATGCGTCTTGGGCTGTCGTGAGCACAGGTGGTGTGCAGGATTCCCAACCCCCTCCCACGGCCCTGTCCTCCCCGTGGTCAGCCTATCTCTGCACAGCAGACCCAGGCAGACACTGGTGGTGGCCCAGAGCGGTGGCCCTTCCCTCTGTCCTCAGTATTTGATGCCATATGGCCTCTTGGATGTCTATTTTCTCTGAAAACCCTGAGGAATCTGAGTTCATTAGACAGCTTGAAATGCTCTGTGAACCCCTCGGAAATCCCAATGTGCATGTGGCTAGGAGAGTGTATAGGGGCTCCCACAGAGGGCTCAGGTGGGCAGCCCAGAGGCGGCCTTGTAAGGACACAAGCAGCCAGCTGGTGCTGCAAGGAACCAAAGGCAGGCCTCATGCAGACGAAGGGTCACCCACCTGTGCCCAGACACCATGGCCAGTGGGACAGGAGGAAAGATGGGTGGTTCTTAGACATGTGGATTATGACACAGGCCACGGCGTGGCTTAACAGGACAGCTCAGTGGTGCTGGAACTGCACAGAGCATGATCCAGGCCAGCTCTGGAAAGCATGGGGTCTGATCAGAGGCCCGTGCCCATCTGGCCCCGACTTGGTTAAAATTTACACTGTCAAGACGCCAATCTAGAGGGTCTGACTCAATTCCTCCCTCCCTCACCTTCTCTCTCCCCCCCCCTTCCTCAGTGGGCAGACCTTCCAGGGCTGTCCCTGCCAGGCCTCAGTAGGGGCACAGGATACAGTGGGCAGCAGGACACAGTTCCCATGAGCCTGTGCTCTGGTGTGGGAAAGCAGACTGCGTTACATGGGGGCTGTGAGGCCACATGGTCCCAGCACCATGGTGGCCCACGGGGACGGCCTGGTGCAGGTGGGTCAGCCTGAGGGACACACACTCACGTGCCGGTGTTCCCTGCAGGGAGCTGAAGCCAGAGGCTGCACAGACCTAGTGTTCTTCTGCACCATCCAGTCACCCCGGGATGTGGGACGTGACTCAGCTGGGACCCCTGGGCTGTGGCAGCAGGGGAGACTTCTTAGGTCCCTCAGGGGTTGCAGCGGGGGTGGAGGGCAGAGAGCAAGCCTGCAGGTGGACTGTGGGTGGCTGTTGCCACAAGCTGAGCTCTAGCTGGAGGGTATTTTCAGAATATTATTTCTCACAGGATTTAGAAATAATTAGAAGTTCAGCTTCTTTGGAATCTTGGCTCTGCTCACATTGCAGATGTGTGAACAAAATAAGTGTTATTTCAAGACGCTAAGATTTTGGTATCAGAAGCGGGGTGTTGCTGTACCTCAACTTAAAAATGTGACAGTGGCTTTGGCCCTGGGCCGAGGGGATGTTAGTGCATCTTGAGATTCTGATGGAGAGCACTGTTGGGGGGCTGAGGGACAGATGGCAATGTCACTGGGAACAGTGGCACTGGTCATGTTGTGAAGGAATGCTCTCTGAGTGTGGACAGGTGGCCAGCTTCAGGGGGAGCCCAAGGACTCTGGCCTCCCAGGGCCTGTGTCTTGTGCAGTTCCTCCCTCAGCGACTCCGAGGTTGGGCCCGCCAGGTCCTGAGGCCTCAGCTTCCCGTTTCCCTCTGGGTTGCCCGTGGTCTCCTGCAGGTACCAATGCACCTGCGGACCTCAGCCCCGAGGGGAGCTCATGTGGAGAGGACCTGAGGCCTCCAGCTGAGAGCGGCACAGAGGGCTGTCCCGGTGGCCGCAGCTCGAACATCCAGCCCCACGCCAACCCCCGGAAGTCGGCAGCCTGGCCGCAGCCACACAAGACACCCCAAGTGAGAACTGCCCGCAAACTCTTCCTGAACTTCTGGACCCTAGAATCTGTGCACACAATAAATGGCAGGTCTGTGCAGCCCTGTGGGTTGGGCAGCTGGTTACGCAGCTCGGATAACTGTGCTGGGGCAGAGCACGGGGGTTCGAACGCTGCCCCTGCTGACGAGTGATGGCGCCTGACTCATCAAGCAGCTCCACCTCCGGGCGGCTGACGCAGATCATCTGAGGACCTCGCACCCCTCTGGGCTCAGCCAGGCCCACAGCATCGGAGGAAGCTCTGGCCCTCAGCTGTCAACCGGAGGACACCACCAGGCTCTCCAGTGGTGGAGGCCGAGTCCTGCAGAGCAGGAGCCGATCACTCACAGCCATGACCCAGAAAGCACTGGCCGCCGCACCTGCGGAGAACGAGGTGAGATTTCTCAGCCACCGGCCTCACCGCCACGCACGACCTTACCGCCACGCACGACCTTCACGGGCTCCTTCTTCCAATTTCTGGCTCTGCGGCTGCTTCCTCCTCTCCTGCTCTTGTAGCTTGCAACAAAATCCCTCCTCTGGGAACCTCTTTGTTCTCTGAGCGTCTCTTGTTTCTGAGAGCTGACTCAGATGACAGGGCTGGGTGGAGGAAGGGTTAAAGACATCTTAGTTAGACTTCAGCAGCCCGATGGAGGCTTGTGCCTGAATGGAATGATTTGTGCAGTTTCCCAGAGAGACAAGAAGCTGTTTCTCTGCTCTGCCTACTAAGAAGGCCTGGATTTCCATAAGTAAGTAGATAAACACAGCGTGTGAAGGCAGACAGGAAAGGCAAGAAAGACACACTGTTCATTAACTTCCCCACTCCCTAATAGGATCACGACGGGCTGAGGCAGATTTCTGCTTGAGTACCCCAGCACAAAGCCTGTCTGGGCCTCAGCCACCTGGTAATTCTAGATTAGGCTCCAGGCTGCAGCAAAGGCTGGCTGTGGCTTCCACAGGTGAAGCTCATGCCAGAAACCACAGGCCCTGCCTTGGGGGCCTGGGCGGATGTGGGCCACGGGCCATCTCTCTGCCCTTGAACCTTTCAGCATGAAGCTCTCAACGCCGGGGGTGGGAGCTGTGGAGCCCAGCAAGCCAGCACAGCCATCTCCCCGTTCCCAGCACCACTGCGGCCTGTAACCCCAGCACAGAGCCAGGAGCCAGCCTCACAGAAGTGGGTCGATAAACCCAGCCTTTCAAGAGAACGTTGAGTGAGTGGAGGTGGAAGCAAGGATTAAGAGCGCAGCACTGGCTGCGAGCTCCCAGAGTGGCCCAGAGCTCCCGGGACAAGAGACAAAGAGCACAGCCAGGCAGCGCAGCCTGGAGGGCCCATTGTCCTGCTCCGGCAGGCAGAGTGCCACCTGCATTTTGCTTGAAGCATTGGAAATCAATCCAAGGCCCATTGTCCACCGAGCCACTTGTGGGTACCTAGGTCTGCAAAATGGATACTGTGTTCTCAGATGTATGGACTAAGAGTCTCCAGCAATGGTGTGGAACTCCCCGTGACATTCGGAGTTCAGGACTTCTTTGTGCATTGTGTTGACCCAGATGGATATTCTGTGACCCTCAGGACAGAGAGACGCAGCTCAGAACGGCACAGGCAAAGCACTGTCCATCCCCGCTGCGGGCTGTATCCTGAGCACACTCGTTCCCTTCTGGGTGCGAAGGCACCTGCACGGGGAAGCTTGCTGAGGTTGAGAATCACAGGGGCCACTCTGACCTGAGCCCAGGGGTCTCCTACCTGTTCACACACCTGAAGAGTTCCCGTTTCTCTGCAGTGTGCCGGGAGCTGGCCTCCTGTCCACTAGACTAAGAATTCCTCACCAACTCGCCATCACAGAGCAGGTCCACGGTCCCTGGCTCCCCTGTTTAAGCGAGGCCAGCCTGGCCAGCGCTGTAATTCTCCTCTGTCCTCTTGTGCCCTTGTCCTGGCTTCACTGCTCGACACCCCTCCCGCCCAGAGGCAGGTCACCAGTGGTGAGGGGGTGGGCTTGCAGGACGCAGACCTGGACTCTGAATGCACAGCCCCTGTGAGCTTCAGTGCTGTCCTCTGTGAAGAGGGCTCATGGTGACCATGCCTGCTGCACGGAGCTGGCCAGAGGACCCAGGGTCAGCACAACTCCCCTGCCAAGCGCCCGTAGTCTTTCCCAGAGTGCTGAGACTTCAGGCAGGACCACCACTGTGTGACTGGCCCCACGGGCACTGCCATTGCTACATCATCACAGTGCTGGCTTTCTCAGGGAGCAATCTCTGCCCTCCCTCTGTCACCAGCACTCACCCCCACTCGTTCCCAGCCCCTGCTGGAGGCTGCAGGCTCAGCGTCCTGCAGCAGGACACCCCCTTCTGCCTCTGCCTCGGTCATAGTCCTCCGGCTGGCCCTTTGTGGGAAGTCATGCCAGCTGAGCCATGGTGTCCAGCACAGAGGCTGGCCTCAGCATAAGTGGCTCCATGTGACATCATTTAATTAGGTGCCATATTGTATGGATCGCTAATGTCCTGCAGAATTCAAATCCACCAGTAAAACCAAAGCACTGCCCTCAAGGGAAAAGCCATGTGTGGGCAGATACAGAGGAGGCCCATAACCAGAGGGGAGTGCCCAGGCCAACGCTGAGACTCAGAGTTCTAACTTGTCCAAGCCAGGGCCACCACCATGGCTGAGTGTCCCTGCTGACAAACAGAAGAGAGAAAGCTAGTTGTGCAATGTGGACAGTCCCGGTCAGCTCCCACCAGGCAGAGGCCTGGAAGGCAGAAGGTCCTTGAAGGAAGGTCCCTTTTGAAAATCTCCCTATCCCTGGACCCTGGTTCCATCTACTCTAGTGATGCGCTGTCTGTGTACCCGGCGTGAGTCCATCTTCCTGCCATTCGGTGCCCTGGTCTTGCAGATCCTGATCTCACTGCTACAACTCTAGGCCCCTCCTGCCTCCCCCAGCTCATGCCGCACACTAGTGCCTGGCACTCTGCCAGCCTGGGTAGGCAGTGAGTCCCCTCAGCCTCTTTGTGGGGTGAGCTCTCTGCCAGAGTTTGAAGAAGTGACATCTCTCCTCTGGCATCTTCCCATCAAGGGTGGCATCTGAGTGAAGCGGCTGTGGGGTGCTGTGACCCTCTAAGAACAGAACCTAGGGAGAGTCCACAACACGTTCGTCCTCAGAAGAGCACTGTGCTGAAGACCGCTGCCTGGGAAACTCGTGTCTGCCGCAAAACCAGCGTCCACTAGCTCAGCCTCCAGGCTCGGCCACGTGCCTTCCATCTGTTCCTGGGGTCACTGGAATAGAGTCCCATCTGAAGGCTCAGTCCATTGGACCTGCTTCTGATCTCACATGCTGTGGGCAGGGGCCGCTCTTCCAGGAGCAGGGCTGAGGCCTCGCCCCTCACAGGCTCTTGGCCAGAGGCCTTCCCTCTGGTCCTGGCCCCATGGACTTCTTCACCGGTCTCCAAGTGGGCAAGGAGACAAGCCACACAGAAGCCACAGTCACCAACTGCATCTGGGAAGTGGCATCGCATCACCTTTGCATGTTCAGTTACTAGGAGCAAGTCAGTGGGGGTGGTCCACACCAGGGGGAGGAGGGCACCCAGGGCACGGGCTCCAGGAGCAGGGCACCCTCGGGGCCGACTGTGGAGGGAGGAACACACCACCCCTGAGCAGTACCTAGACTTCAGGGCCCACTGCACACTCACTGAGTAATGACTAACTCCCTAATGACCAAGGCCAATTAACATGTGCAAGTTAAGTTCCTGGAACTAACTTGAAAACTTAGGGCAGAGCACGCAAGCCCTGCAGGTCTGCCAGGGCCTGCGTGTGGGTGTGGCCTCAGCCTCAGTGCCCAGGCCGCTCTGGACGGGAATGCAGCCTCGGGGGCTGCTTGGTGTTTCCTCCAGATGCGAGATGGCATCTCACACTCATGTCCCCTGCCGGGCACTGCCCCCTGTTCCCGTGATCGCCAGCCCTCCCCATCTTCCCTGGTGGAACTCAGGCTCCTCCTCTGGTGACCGTCACAGGTCCCAGCAGGTGGAATGTGATGGCATGACTCACAAGTCCTTGCTGCTCCTGTGACCATGTGACCATCCCCCTGTCAAACGTGCCCTGCTCCATGTCAGCTGAGCTCCTCAGTGGGAAGCCAGGTCACCCTGGGCACCAGCCCCTCCCACTGCACCTGCAGAGACAGGCATTCAGGGGACAGGGGACGTCTGCTGGCCCGTGGAGGTGAGATGAGCTCACGCATGAGGTCAGCTGCTGTGCTGGACGGGGCTGAGATACACCCTTCCGGGAAGGCCGGGGGCTGTGTGGCTGGGGCTGGAGAGCTGACCCTGATCATCCGGGCTCTGAACGTGCTTTCCCTCCTCACAGACACAGGGCCCAGCGGCTGATCCTCACACGGTGCCTGCAGCCGGGGGACAGCCAACATGTGCAGATGGTGGGGGGACGTTCCTGGGGTCTCGTGGCGATGAGGCCTGCCCCACATTTGCATGTTTAGCCAACGTGGCCCCCAGTGCTGCCCAGGTGCTGAACACTACCACCCCCTGCCTGCGACATGAGGAAACCAGGCCCAGAGGGCTGGACGGTGGACTCAGGACCCAGAGCTCTGAAGGGCAGAAGTCCAGGTGCTGTCCAAGGGCCAGTCCTCATTGCACGGTGATTCAGCTTAGGGACAACATGGCCAGATCCACCTGCAGGGAACTGGCGAGGCTGGCCTCAGAGGTGGGGTGGGCTTGCAAAGCTCCTGGGCGGGGCCAGCTAGGAGGAGGGCACACAGGAGGACGAAGCAGCAGAGAAGACGGGCGGAGAGTGGCCACAGACCATCATGGGGTGAGGGTGGAAGAGGTGGGCCTGCCTGGCCACCTAGTCCCTCTGAGGAGCAGCATGGGCATCCACCACAGGTTGCAGAGGAGCCTGGCCACTACTGGGCTGCAGCAGCTCCCTGGGAGCTACTGACCCCCTCCCACCCCCTGTGCAGCACCTGCTCCTGTTCCCCTCCTCCTGTGCCCCATGGTGGGTGTAAACCCTGATTGTGGGACCTTTGCCACTGGTCTTTGTGTGGAGCCACTGTCTGAGCACCTCATAACCGTAACCGCCTCAGCAGCCGGTCCTGGTCCGGCCTTCCGTCTGCTGTTCTGCACCGTGTACAGGGAGCTCCAGACCCAGATGCTGAGTCCATTCTCACTGCTTTGGGGGCTTGGATACGATTCCAGCAGGTTCACAGCAGGAGAAACTGGTGACTTGTACAACTGTCGGCAACGTCATGGGGTTCCAGCATGGTGGCCGGGAGCCCAAGGACAAGGAAGAGCTTCGTCTCTGTGGGCTTCCTGGGCTCGGCACCCTGCTCCGCCTCCAGTGATACAAGGCCCTGGGATGGGTGGGGAGCAGTGAGGGCTCTGGGAGCGGCCCTGGGGCCTGGCTCCGGGCACTTTCTGGCGAGTGGTGTGCCAGGCTCACTCCAGGGAGGGCTCTGACCCCCTGCACCTGCTCAAGTCCGTGTCCCTGAGGCTTTTTTCCAGGGTGGAGGACAGAGGGGGCCTCTCCAGGTACCTTCCTGGGTCCCCACCTGGTTTCTGTCACTGGCGCCAGCATCCTCAGGTCCTCTCTCGAGTCCCTGCCCACGTGATTTGAAGTCAAATGGTCAACGCGGCACCAGGGTGCTGAAGTGCATTTGGGGTGCTGGGGTGGGCTGGGGCTGGGTCCTGTCGTGTGGACGCAAAACTCAGAAGGTGGGAAACGCACAAGAAGCAGCGGGTGAGAGGAGCAAAGGGAGCCAGAGGAACGTGGGAGAGCCGGGAGCAGCTTCGGAGCCCGGTTCAAGGGGACCCTGGGCTTGGTCCTCATCACACTGGAAATCCAGGTGCTGAAGAAACAGGGCTGAGGCTCATCCTGTTTCCTCCCCTGCTTCCTGACCCTGTGGTCTCCCCAGCCAGGGCTGCAGATGTCCTCTCCAGCTCAGACGCCCTCTCCTCCTAGGACGCCTCACCCTGCAGTTGTTTGGCAGCTGTGCACATCGAGAGCAGGTTTCTCCATCTGGGTGGACCCCGGCACCCAGAATCTGGACTTGTGGCCTCAGGGCACCCCGTGAGCCCCAGGCCTCCTCCCCGTCTGTCTGCCCTCCGAGCCCGCAGTCCTCTCTGCCCTGACCCTCAAGCCTTCTGAGCCCAGGAAGGGGTACCCCTGCGCCCCAAGGGATGCCCTCCCTGCCCACCAGTGCCACGGCTCGGAGTGCAGAGGCCTGCCTCGTGCTC